TTCTGTAAAGATATAAAAGTAAAGATTTTCAAAGTTCAAAATTGAGTACATAAACTGAACTTTTGGGCAAAAAATCATGTGATTAGCACACCGAGAAAAAAATACATGAAAAAGGGTATAATAACTAGTAAATGATAAAAAAAATGAAGAAAAATGTAAATGATGATTGGCAGAAACCGAAAAAATGGGAGAAATTACTGCATATTTTAGTGAATACTGCGGTAAAATTTGTTTATTTTTCGGTTTTAATAATTAATTCGATATTGTCACGTTAAAATTTTATGTAATCACAAAATTAACACACCAAAAAAAATCTTGAATTGGATAGATTATTAATTTGATATTTTTATTATTAATTTATATAATTAATAAATGAAAAGAAATAGTATTTAAATTAATTTAAAATGTCTAAAAAAGAGTTTTTACATTTTTGTTATACATCATATCATTGTTATACATGTAGAAATAATTTCCAATGTAAACAAAGAAAAAAAGAATTTACACAAAAAGAAAGGGAAGATTTAAATAAAAAGGATGAAATTTCTATTTGTTGTTTATGTGACAAGAAACATTTTAGATGTAAATCAAAAAAATGTGACATGTGTTGTAAGAGAAATGCATGTGATTCTTATCCATGTAAATATTGTTTGGATAATGGTAATGATTGTAAATATACTATTATACGGAGTTTAGAAGAATTTAAGAGTTTTGGTAAATATGATTTGAGTGCGTATACTGGACAACTTGAATATACTAAAGAAGGTAAGGTTCATGTTCAAGGTTATTGTCAATTTGAGAAAAAAAGAAATAAGACAAGGAAGAAAATTTGTGAGATATTAAAGGATTATACTGTATGGATTCCAGAAGAAAAAGTTAGAGGTGATTCGAATGAGAATATATTATATGCAACAAAGGAATATAATCCATGTGATAGACATAAGAAAAAGAGATGTAAATGTCATCATGGTGATAATATATGTGAAATTTGTAATGATAAATGTCCAGAAAAAACGAAAAGTAGGATTGAAGGATTAATTAATGAGGTTGGACCATTTAAATTTGGAAATTTTCGTTATTTGGGAGGTAAGGAACCGAGTAATGATGAAATAGAAAGTAATGAAGTGGAAGATAATCATAATGACGATAAAGATATTGATCATGAAGCAGAATTACAGAGAAAAAAAATGAAGAATTTGATGCTATCATTGAAGGAAATGAGATGTTATATGAGGGTGCCACTTCATTAGAAGTATTTAAACGTAATAGAGGTAAAGTTACATATTCTAGTAATTATTCTAATATGGGTAAGATTTATCGTGATGTACAAGAGGAAAAAATGAATTTAAAAGGTGATAGGTTTTGGCGTCCTTTTACAGTTTATATTTATGGACCTAGTGGAAGTGGAAAGACAGGATTTGTTAGAGCTTTGTTTGGAGATGAATTATATGATAAACCAAAAAAGAAAAGGAATGGTTCTAATTGGTGGAATAAATATAAAAGACAAGAGATTGTTTTATTGGATGAGTTTTATACAAAGATTGATTGGGATGATATGGTAAATATATTAAATGATAGTATTTGTGATTTGGAATTAAAACATAAAGGATTTGTACCATTTCTTGCGAAATATGTATTTTTAACAAATACAAAACCTCCAGAGGAAGCATATAATTTTGGTCAAAATGGTCGTGATGATGATTCAAATAAACGTAGTTTTGAGCAATTTGAAAGACGTTTAGATATCATTATTGAATTTAGAGGTAAATGGCATAATGATATTAGTAAACGGACAACTGAGATTATATTTCATAAAGGTGATGAACAGAAATTTCGTGATATGGAATGGGATGTAGAGTATAACAATGATAAATATACTGTTGATGAGATTGTTGAGAGGGGAGAAGTATTCACGGAAGGTTTAGATGGTGAA